TTTTATCTTGCTATTTGATCTCTCAATGGCTGAAAGATGATGAAAGATTCCGAGCAGTTTGGTGATGGAATAATTTCTCCTGATTCTCAGCTGTAGGCTGGTAGTGACATCTCAGCAGCATAAACAATTTGTGGACTTTAGTACAGTCTATTATTGGTGCAGAAAGATGGAGTTTGCTATAGGCAAAATGTTTTTTCTTTTTTTGTGCTGTTTTGCCTCTGGGTCTGGGCAATGCTGCTTTGGTCAGTGGGACCCTTTGTCACAAACTCTGCTGTGGTGAGTAAAATTGATTATCATGTTCAAATTGCCATCAGTGATTCCTTAGACATGCTTTTCATAGCCAAGATAGAACATCTTTGGGTTTGTTGGTGATAGTAAATGCAAAATTCCCTGGAATGATTGAAGAAAGTAAAAACATTGCCAAAATAATATTATAATCTCTTTATTTATCTTTTGAGAACCCACATTATTTCCTGTTTTATTTACTGGTGTCTTTTTCCATGTGTAACTACTCACAGCAGGGATTTGTCTGTATGGGAGAGCTCTGATAAGAACAAGTCTTATTGCAGGCTTGGAAAATACTTTTAAAAATAACAATGTAAGGAAAGAAAGGTTCAAACCTCCAAAGGTGGAGAACTTTCACTGAACTTGACATTTCATTTTAGCTCTGTATTTTTACCACTCTTTGTATACCAAGAAGGATTATAAATCACAGGTTTTGCCCATAGATCTAAGGTAACTTTTAAGTCACATGCTCGTAGGATGTTCCTGTTTCATCTTTAGCATTGCTGCTATTTCATTTTCAGTTCCACCTTGGATTTATAGGAACCCTGCCAGCCATGAGGCTGGGCCATATTCCTGTGTATTCCTGGAGCTGAGAGCTGCCCTTGGGATGTTTGGTTTCTGTCACAGTCACTGTTTGTCTCTTTGGAGCAGGACACTGAAGTTCCTGAAAAATACAAGTGAACTATGAATACTTAATCTTCCTGTAAAGTTGCACACACACTGAATTCACTCCTGGCTGATTTTTAAAAAATTTTTGATTATTAAATATTTGGCTGTGCACATACTTGTAAACCAAGGAAGATCTGTTGTGTGGACAGAATTAATTTTTCATTTCTGAGCTCATTAAAAGAGCCTTAAAAGATTTTTGTTCTCTGATGCTTTTTGCTAATATATTATATGGGTGATGTTAATTTATGGAATTAACTAAAAAGGAGTCATCAGGTTTAAGACTGTCTCCCTTCTCTTTCCCATACAGTTGAATCATTAATGTTTCTGTGTTGATGCAGCATCCATACCTTATATAACATTGCTGTTTCCCAGTGGGAGCAGGGTAATTATTTATAACCTTTATTACTCCAGCCACAGCAGTGCCCAGGCTGCAGAGTGCTGGAATGTTCCGACTGCGCGCGGCCTCTGCTCCGGCTCAGCACATGCCATGGTTCAGCCCAGCTGATGTTCCTTCACTCTCACTCTGTTATTGTTCTCCTTTTAATCAGGCCTCCGTGATCGGTATCAAAAAAGTGACTCCCAATCACAAACCCTGCGAGCAGCCCATGCTGCAGAACTGGGAGACTTTTCCTGTAGGCTGGAGCTGCTGCATTCCAAACAGTCCTGGAGAAAATGTGTTCTCCCTCTTGTGCCTCTGTGCTGAAAATGTGAAACATTTCCCCTTAACTCCATGTCATTCTGCTGCCGGAGGCAAACCAGAGTTTCTTTACATTCATTTGATGACCTCCTCCTATCACTCTCACCAGAATTTTTTTTGAGAGGAGAGGGTCTGTTTTCACCTCAGAGATCGCACTCACTCCTCATTCCTGCTTCAGCTCAGAATGTTCTAGTGAATTCACTGTCATTTCTGAAGAAATTTAGCAAAACAAAGAAGGACTGCTTCCTTAAGGCAGCAGTGGGCTTGCCTGTGAAGTTTAAAACCTCCAGCACTCCCATCACAACCTTTTGTGCAGGATAAACCTGGACCTTCCATGCAAGGAGGCTGATGGAAGAGCAGCTGTGCCTCAGATCCTAAAAATGCACTCGTGGGCTTTGCCATTAGCTGTGAGAGCTGTGGGTCAGGGTGTGTGTGCCCCAGAGCTGGGGACACTTTGCAGGCTGCTAATTCCCTCCTGTCAGCTGTCAGCATTTCTAGCAGTTTCTGAGCCACAATCAGAGTGGTCCCACTGTCATTTCCCCAGCCTCCTACAGGGTGAAGGCAATTAGATTGGAATAATTCATTTTGTTGGTACCAAAACAGAACAGCTGGAGGGCATGGTCAGAATGCCTGCCAAGGTTCCTGCCTCTCTCTGAGGTTCAGAATCCTCAGTTCATTTGGGCTGTGCAGCCTCAGAGCCCCTCGGAGCTGTGGGCACCCACATCCCTCTGCCTGCAAAGGCACTGGTGTGGCAGGTTCTGCTGCTGCTGCAGCTCTTGTGGGGTGGGGAAGGACATCCATGGCATCTGCTCTCCTTGCAGCGTAGCCCAGGGAGGAGGGTCCTGCTGGGCTGAGCTCTGCAGAGGATTTACACACTCAGGGACAGCCCAGGTGGGCTCTGCCTTCCCCCACAGCACGGTGACATGATGTACTTGATGTACTCATTTCTGCAGCCCATGAAGATGGCCTGGACAGCATTTGGCAATTAACAGGGCTGACAATGAACGCTCAGCAAAAGAGACATCAGCACAATATACACACAGGCAATTTGGAAATGCCATCTGTGCCTTCAGTTGGACACATGGATTGCTTGGGAGCAAACACGCAGGAGTGTGTGCACATGGTTTTTTGCCTGAGGTTGCTCTGAAGGTCTTGTTCCAACACGTACCACAATTATCTTCTCAGAGCACTAATAGGAACAGCAGATAAGTATCCGAATTGCAACACTTTGTGCTCATAAAATTAAAGCTTATTATGCTGATTAATGACTGATGAGATGCATGCAAATAAAAAGTGCAGAATTCTCCTCACTCCTCAGTATTGCTGCTGCCCTACTTTGAGCCTGCCCTAAGCTTTGACACCTGACACTACAATGTTTTTATTTTTTACTCCTGCTTTGCAGTGACTTTTCCATCTCTGTTCCTCCATGTAAGCCTTTTTTCTCAGTTAGCAAGTGCCAGTGATAACCCAGGTGTAGATTTTGTAAAAATGAAAGAATCCTTAAAAGTGACTTTTTCTTCTGGGGTCTGGTAAGAAACCATCTCATTTTAGTCTGCTTTTTTTCTGTAGTGAGTGCTAATGCCATGATTAAGTAGGGGGTTTTGTGTGTTTATTGGTGGTTTGTTTCTATTTTGTCACATACCGTAGCATGCAATAAACCATATTATGAAGCTGATTTACATTGTAGATGCAGACTCATTAAATGTATAAACATTATAAAAACATCTTGTTAAGAAAGCCAAAGATTTTAGATAAGGAAAAGGCAGTACAATCAATGCTGAGTAGCAAAAGTAGTAGTAATAGTAGTAGTATATTATTTATCCTTATGCTTCAGAAATTGTTACTTATTGTAACATATCAAAATAAGCATTTAAATCAGTTAAAGCAGAACTGCAGTGAATATTGCAACATGCTGCACCCTGGGTTTTCAGCCCCTGAACAGCCTCATTGCCCTTTCCATGCTCCAAATTCCAGTTTCTGCTTTGCTCCCCCAGGGATCAATTCAGGAGAATTTCTTCTGCAAGGTTAAATGCAGAGATGCCCGAGAATTAGATAAGCAGCAGTAAAATACTCAAAGTAAGTTATATTTTTGGAAAGAAAGACAGGAACAAGAGGTGTCAGTGGTACCACAGTGGTCAGAGAGCAGTGAACTCCAGCATGGCCAAGCTGTTCCTCTGAGTAAATCATATCCAACCACCCCAACAGCCTCCTGGGTGTTGCTGTGAGGCCAGGTGATGGCCTGTAAATCACCCTGGGACAGCCAGGAAGCAGGAACTGAGCAGGAACATTTTTGAGGTTAACTTGGCAGGCGCCTAGGGGAGATATGAGAAGCAGGGCTCCTGGATTGGGAGTATTCCTTAATTTGAGCTGCTAGTTGAGTACCCTGCGCAGACAGGTCTGAGTGTCACCACCTGCCAGAGGTGGAAAACGAGCAGAGCAATTGAAGAAAGTAGGCTCAGGGGATAGGTAGCAGAACAGAGACAAGTGTGATGTGATGCTGCAAGGGGTTAATAATGAAGAGGTGGTTTTGCAGCAGGTGGGAGTCAGGGGTATCCTGGCAAATGAAGCCCACCACTGCTGTGGTGTCAGGCCAGGCACATCAGCGTGTGCTTGTGTGTGCAGGAGTCCTTCATACAGCTGAGCTGAGTCCTCCAGCCCCCAGAGAGACACTGGACAGGAAAAAAAATCAGATTTCTTTTTGTTTTTCAGTACTAATTCATGGCTGAGAGCCCGGCATAAAGCAACAGTGTGAATCACTGGCACAGATCTGCCTGGAACTCAGGCATTTAGGGTTCCCATTCCCACGGTCTCCCACTCAGTATGTGTTTCCCAGCATTCTCCCATGGGTGATGCCTTCCTCAGAGGGAAAAAACAAACCTCATGGTTATAAAACTGAGAGAGAAAGACTCATAGAGTGACCTTTCTATTTGGGTTTAAGCAGGTGAGGAGAGAAATGCACGGGAGAAAGGATGTATCTGTGAGCTGGTGTTGTGTGAGAAACCTTCTGGGTTATTTTGAAGTGAAATTCCTAACAGAGCTCATATTTTAAAGAGGTTTTCATAGGGAATAGTCAGTTCCTTAAGCCCACTGTCTTGTCCCTGATGGAAGTCAAAAGCAGAAGGGTTCTGACTGAGTTTTTCCATTGCAGGAACCAGCAGAGCATTGTTCCTGGCAGTGCAGACTGCAAAGTTTTGCCCAGTGAGTCTTAAATGGTGAATATGTCACTGAAAACTTTGGGTCTTATGGGTAATCTAACACATTATTGTGTATTACACAGGCAGGGCTTGATATTTGTAACTGATTCAAACAAAAATCTCCACTAAAGGAACTTGAACCAGCTTTGATTGCATCAGAGAAAAGCAAAGATTTATTAGCATTTATTCCACAGGAACACCAATCACGGTAGAGATTAACTCAGGTAACAGTGATTTGGAACAGAAACAGATGGAAGAAGCAGACAGAACATCCAGAGAGCTCTGATGAGCCCCTGGAGTGAGCAGTGTTGGGTAAGTTGGACAAGTGTTCTCTCCTGCTCGTGGCAGGGGATGTTCAGCCATGCTCAGTAGAGTCTTGCTTGGTCTGAAGGCCTCACTGGGAGGTTGTGCAGTGGGAGATGCTGGTCTTGCTGATCACTCCTCAACCCTTCTAAAACTCCCTGTTGAAAGATGGAGGAAAGCAAGAATTTCTTCAAAGTATTCAGCATTTTTAACCTTTTGTTACTTCCCAAGTTTCACCTCTGCAGTACTCAGTGCAGCAGGGTTGTTCCCAGCCTTCTGGAAAGGTTTAGACATTGTCAGACCTGAGTCTGTACAGTTCATGTGCAGATTTAGCAATTAACTACATGAATCTGCTGCTGTTCTCAGCCATGGGAGTGCAAATCACTTTAAATATAGAGTGGCTTGCAGTACAAACCAAATACAGGAGAACTTAGAATCTGCATTTGTGTGTGTATGGATATTTACAGTAGATTTTTATAAGTTAAAGAGAGATGGCACATAATATGCTTTAATCTTGCTTCCAAGCATTAATGTGTGTTGGAGTGTTGCAGGACAGAGGAGTTCCTTGATCAGGAATAAATTTTTGCGGAGGAGTTTGCAAAGCCTGTGTAGGAATTTTTTAAAAACTAGAGCTCATCTACACCAAATTTTACTGATCTTCCTCATGACACAAAATCCTCCTGAGTTCACTGCCTGGTTTTCAGCATCAGGAGTGTCTGTGCAGTGTTCCTGCTGTTTGCACTGATGGCTTCAGGCCCTTTGGGTGAGAGACAACTCTCATGTCATGACAGCCTGTCAGTCTGCAATGGAAACTGTGTTTGGGGCAGAGCCTGGCTGAACCTGGTCCTTATAACAAGTAAATATAAACCTCAAAGCAGGACCATTTTCCATCTTTTCATAAAAAATCAAAAGTGGAATTGAATCTTTCTAAAATTACATCTTCCTGCTCATTTTCACCATTTTCAGGCTTTCGTCTGAGGTGCTGCCAGGACCTGGACCCTTACCCAGTCTCATGTGTTTTATGGCTTCAGACACTTCCTCCATGGTTGCTCCTCTCTCCAATGTTTTGTTTCCTTCCAGGCAGAGCTTCATGTTTTCAGCACTTCCTGGAACCAGAGCCAGGAAATCAGATACGGATCAGACCCTTTGGTCACTCTCCATCTTTTGCTGCTTCAGTATTTTGCAGCCAATGCCCCTTATATTTCAAATGTCTTGAGTGTTCCAACTATCCTACCCTGCTTTAACCAACCCCTGCTTAATTCCAGTCACATTTTTAACTTCTGACTTTCCTAATTCCCTGCCTACTTTGGGTTTGGCACCATTTTCCCTTTTCTCTCTTAATTTCCTTTTTTCACCCATCATCTGACACTACTCTTCATGCCATCCTTCGTGCTGCTTGTGTTGATTTCTCACTGTCCAAGAACAAATGTCAGAGTGGCTTTAAAAAAAAACTGGGAAAATAAAGCAAAAATATTTCCAGGAAGGAAGTTGATATATCCTTTCCTGCTATTCAGAGAGAATTGTGAACTGCAGGGTGTATTTTTTAATTCCATATTTACCTGGGCTTTCACAAGAGTCGCTGGGCTGGGACTGGGAAGATGAAGAGCGGGAGAGGCAGGATTTACCCCCTCCTCCTCCACCACTGCCACCTCCTCCACCTGAAGTTTTCCCACAAGTTCCACCTCCTGTTCTTCCTCCACTCCCTCCTCCTCCACTTTCAGAAGAGGAAGATCTTCCATAGGATCCTCCAGTTTTTCCTCCACTGCTTCCTCCACCTGAGGACCAACAGCTTCCACCTCCACTACTTCCTCCATGACCTCCTCCTCCTGAAGATCCACCACCAGCTCCTCCCTGTGAAGTGCTGTAAGGAGGAAGGGGTGTGTTATTTCTATCTTACCTTTCATTTTCCCAAAAAATGGCACTTCCTGATGGTACTTAGGGGAAGAAATGACAAATTACAATTCTAAACACTTTTGTAAAAGTACAGCTTTGCATGCTGCCAGCAAAGAATTAGATTCCATGTGAATTCTTGTGCTTGTAGTAAATATGTTGGTGATTAATTCCTTGCACCAGTTCCTAATACAAATATTAGGAACTGCCGTCCTCTTTCCCTGATTGCATCATTAGAAAGTTAATTAACTGAAGTCTGTACCTAATGCCCTGCTGCCCCTCCTGCAGCAGTGCCCGGTACTGCTGGATCTCCTGCTCCAGGCGGGTCTTGATGCCCAGGAGCATCTTGTACTCCTCGTTCTGGCTCTCCATCTCACAGCGGATGCTGCCCGATCATGCCCTGGATCTGCTGCAGCTGCATGTTATAGCGACGTTCCGTGTCTTCCAGGTTGGATTGCAGAGAGTCTATCTGCAAGGGGAAAACAAAACACTCTGCTTATGGCAATGTGGCAGGATTAGATCATTCTTATGCCCAACATGAGTTGGATGCTCCAAGCATCCTTACAGCTGACATCCTGGCATTCCAGCAGCTCCTGAGCTCTTTGCGTTTCAGGGGATGAGGAGTAGTTGTTACCTACCAGACTGATCTGTGACTGCAGCTCAATCTCCAGACTCTGATATTCACGTCTCAGCTCAGAGATCTGCTGGTTGCTTGATTGTATCTCCTGGCCACTTGAGTGGACTTGTTGACTCACTTCCTCCATCTGAAAAATTAATGTAAGGAATTGGAGTTTCTGAGTTTTACTTACAATGCCAGCATGGCAGTTTATCATGGGAGCATTTGGAACATAATTTGCAGAAGGGCCACTGGTAGAATGGAACTGTTAAACTTGACTGTGTGGCTCTGCCAGAGCAATTCAAGCCCACTCGTGATTTGCTTCATTTTGACCAAAGGGACTCTACTATTATTTTGTAAAAGCAAATGATGTTGTGTCATTCCTCTACAGGAGGTTCTTAACAAGAATTGTAACCATTTACCTTGCTTTCGTACCACTTTTCAACCTCTGCACGGTTTTTCTGAATAATAGCTTCATATTCCTGCCTCATCTCATTCAGTTTTTTCAGCAGATCCTCTCCTGGAGCAGAGTTTATCTTCACATTCACATCCCCATTGGACTGGGATTGCAGCAGTTTCATTTCCTGCAGAGAAAACCCAGGCCCAAGGACAATGAACACAAGTGGAACCTTCCAACAACATACAGATATATATATTTGGGAGCTTTGTGTTGCAATTATCTAGCCTTGACTTTCCAGTCATTGTTTGTTGAGGGGGCTGAGCTCAGGGGCACCCTGCAGCAGCCTTGGTTGGCGTTTCGAGCGCGGGGTGTCAGCTTCCCACATCTCCAGTGTGCCTTTCAAGGAGCTGTCTCTTACCTCCTCATGGTTCTTCTTGAGGTCAATGATCTCCTCCTTCAGAGACTCAAACTGCATTTCCAGGTCAGACTTGGTCAGGGTCAGGTTATCCAGCAAGGGCCGCAGGCTGTTGAGGTCGCTCTCCACATTCTGCCGGAGCCCGCTCTCCATCTCGTACCTGTGCCAAAGACAGTGCAGAGAGCTCAGCCCTGCTCCTGGCACCCACAGTCCTCCTCCTAAGTCACATTAGTTATAGAAAATTCACCTGTTCCAGTATCAGTGCTTGCTTTTATGTCTGTATTTTGGAGCATGCAGCACCTCTCAGGTATCAGAATTAGGAAATCATCAGCCAGTACTTAACATTTAATTAATAATATTACTTAATAACATAAAGTTATTATTCTTTATACTAAATAAATGTTAAGTTCAGTATCAATATCAAACTCTAATATTAAAATGTGTTCTGTGGTCTCTTTCATCGTCTCTTCTCACTGCAGTTTTGTACAGGTTCCATCTCTCTGGTTAACCTGACTTGGAGTGTCAGAAAATCCCAATTTTTATATTCTTAAAAATAAAACTTTTTGTAAGCTCTGGCTCTGCAGCCATAGGCAGTATTCCCATCAAAGATCTCTCTAGGAATATTGAAAATTTTGAAGTTTCACAAATTATTTCAGTTGCACTGCCATGAAAGCAGGAGGAAGCCAAGTCCATGTGAGCTGATATTTGTTTATAAGTTCAGGAAGGCAGGAGGAAGGAAGTCAGTGCCTGTAAAAGAGCAATATATATTTACTTTATTCTAAAGTCTTCTGCAGTCATCTTTGTGTTATCCAGGTCCAGAAGTACCTTGTGGGTTTCCACAGCTGCAGCCACAATCTAGAAGAGAAACAACATGTTAGGAAAACATTCCCTGTGAATCTCTCAGTCTGACAGTGCTTGAACCTCTCTGGCAAAGAACATCCTACCTTGTTTTGGAGTTCTTCAATTTGTCCATAATAGTGGCTGTAGTCCTTTGGGCCAATAGGACCTTGCTTCTGGTACCACTCCCTAATTAACTGTTCAAGCTGAGCATTTTCCTTTTCCAAATTCCTGACAGTCTCCATGTAGGAAGCCAGGCGTTCATTAAGGCTCTGCATGGTCAGCTTCTCATCGTTGGCGAGAATTCCCACATTCCCTCCGTGAAAGCCACCACTGCCAAAGCTGCCACCACTGAAACCAACACCACCTCCACCAAAGCCTCCCCCAAAGCCGCTCCCACCTGAGCTGAAGCCCGTTCCCATGCTGCAGTGCCCCATTCCCCCTCCATAACATCCACCACCCAGCCTTCCTCCACAGCTGCTGCTGCTCATTCCTCCTCCGTAGCTACCGCGCCTGCCATAAGCACCGCTGCTCCGGGAGCTTCCTCCGCCACAACTGCTGCCAGAAAACCTGCCACCACCACTTGTCCTGGAAGTGACTGTCCTAGAGGAGGCCGAGGAATGCGAGCTACCCCCTCCTCCACCCCCTCCGCTGCTGCTCCCCCGCAGGCAGCTCTTCAGGGGCTGCTTGGAGCCACAGCTCATAGTGGCAGCAGCAAATAACTCAGGTGAAACGTCAAAGCTGGTCTTACAGTTGTTCTGGAATCATAGCTCCAAGTTCCAGCTGGCCTCCTCTCCATTTATACCTGAGATGGTGGGTGTCACCGTGGAAGGGAGTACCTGCTTTCCATGTGTGGTTGCAAGCCCTAATTTGCCAAAGGGAGATGCTTGGCAGTGGCAGGAAGCTTAACCCTTCCTCTAAGTGTTTGTGACCATTTGTTTATTGACACAAAACATGTAATTTCTGTTGGGTGGCCCTGAATTAGGGAGATCTCTGTTGAGATCTAGTGCACTGCCTTGCAGTCATCCAAAACAAATTCATCCCACTCACCTCGTCCTGGTCACAGCCCTCTCAGCACAACAACACGCTGCCACAGTAGCAGTGCATGTTCCTAGCTCTCTTCTAATGCTCAGATATTTGTCAAGGAATTCTGGCTGATTTTTTTATAGCTAATTTTAACTGGTATTTTCTTGGTTTTATCATTATCCTATGCTGTATGCTCCTTATTTGTAATCCTTTATTGCTTTATGCCTTTAGAAAGCCGACTGCAGGGTGCATGTTGTAGGTACAGAGAACCACTCTGACTCCTTTGTAATATCTCATAAAAACTCAGTGAACAATGGCAAATACCACGTGTCAGCAATTATTTCAATCACACCTCTATAATTGTGTTTTATAAATAACAAATTAATTATGAAAAAATGGTATCACAACAAGTGCTCTGTGTCAGGCTGAAGGAAGGAAGTGTGGCAGGTTGTTGCAGGGAAAAACCCTTCATGTGCTTGGACCAAATTCAGATACAGGATGGCTGAGAGACTTGGGAAAGCTTTGAGGCTTGGGGCTGGTCTCTCCTGACATGGCTGGGAGTCATGGTCATGTTCCTGAAGGGAATTCAGAATTTTATCAGGATGTTTTCCCTATGCAGCACAAATAAAATACTTGGAGGAGAAAGGTAAAGTTCCTGGTTTGGGGATTAGATCAATAAACTACATCAAAACAGCATTTTTCCTTCAGATTTGCTTTCCATTCACAGATACAGCATGACCAAAAGCAGGAAATCAGTGCAGTGGATAGTTCAGCTGCACATCTGCCCTGTGAGCCTTCACAGCACCCTGAGCCTCAGACATTTCTCCCCTGGGTACCTCTCACCCCTTTCCTCCTGCCCAGGCACACGATCCATAGCAAATCCCAGTCTGTTACCTGTTCCTGTAGGTGGAACTCGTGTGATACCAAATTTCCTGTATTGATTTGGGATATTACTGTTTTCTCACTCAGCCTTTGTGATGATGGTTGTTGCTAATTAAGTTTTGTTTGTTCCAGCAATTGTTTGTGGAAACAGCTTTTGGTAGAGGCCCCTCCCAGCACACCCTGGCCCACACAGAGGACATGCCTTGTGTTCCACCTGCTGCTCCACTTCATCTCTGAAACATCCCAGGGAGCGAGGCCTCCTCTGCATTGTAGGAATTTAAATGGTTCACCACTCAGTGGAGTCTGGGGGATAATTTTCTCCAGGGAGAAATCCTTTTCTCCCAAAGTGAATTAAATTCTCTTCTATACTTCCACCTACTTTGGCTCAAGCAGCAGCTGGGTTATGTTCCATTTAACTGTTGTTTTGACATCCCTGATACAGAGACATGGGAACAAATCAATGCTGTTGTGTAAAATTCTGCAGAAAGGTTTTGATTTTTTTTCCTGGAAAGATGTTTATTACATCTTCTGTATCAGTAATTCCATTTAGGAAGACCAACCTTCCTGTCTTCCTTTAACAAAAGAACATTTTTGGATGGTTTGAATAATCAGTGAGGATGCTTGTGTGCAATTTCATAGCTTCATTTTTAATACATGAAAGGAAGGTTTAATGCCATATTTCCCCTAGAACTTGTGAAGGCAATGTACTTCAAGGGTGAAACTTAGCTCCTTGAAACCGAAGAAGCCTGACAGATTCAACATGTTGGGATCTGATCCTGGCCAGGATCAGAGATAGAAGTTACAGAACAAATGGTTCCTGAAAGGAATGTTTTATTTCAGAGCTGCTGTCAGGTGGAAGCTGGTTTATAAGGTAGTAATTTTCTCAGAGTTCTGTCTCATGGTATTGTCCAAGCCCTTGAAATGCACTGAACTTCCTGGCTGATCTTAGATAATGTTTCCAGCAAAATTCAGAGATGCTGCTGAAGTGCAGCTGGAGGGCTGGGAAAGCTTCACATAAAAGTGATTGCAATAAACTTCAGGAACTGGAAGGATCCCCAGTGGTACCTGTGAAATGGGACAGTGAAATGTTACAGAATTTGGGGCTGGTGCTGCTCACTGCAGCAGAGCCAAAAACTGGGTAGAGCCAAGCTGGGATGGGGTTTGGGGGTGTGGAGGAGCAGGAGGAGGAGGCAGGCGGCTCCACAGTTGTTTGCAACTTTGAGGCCTCTCCCTTTTCCTATGATGAAACTGTTAGGAGCTCCTGCCCAAAGAGGAGGATGAACTATTTAAGCCTGAACTCACCTAGTGCTGGCAGGAATTCTCCTGGGATGGGCAGGAATTCCCTCAGCATTCCAATGGCAGAGTTCCCTGCACAGCCCAGATGTGCGTTGGCTGCAGCAGAGGCTGCAGGAGAATGAAGCCCTTTTCCCTTTCCTTTGGGAGGGTGGCAGCAGGAAGGGGCTGGGGCAGAGCTCAGGCTGGGGGTGTGGGTGAGCACACACCAGCTCCTCTCAGACTCCAGGACCACCTTTCCCACACTTGTGTTTGGGAGAAACCACCGAGGCTGCAGAGCACATTCATAGGGTCACAGCTGGATTGTTTTCCCCCTTTTTGGTGTTTCACTGGATCCTATTCCATCCTTCCTGCTTCTGGTCAGCTCTTGTTAGAAAACTCAATTTTTGTATGTTGCTACACAGAGAAAAACTATGAATTATTTACTTGGGGAATATGACTCATTCTTATAATTATATGTTATAAAGTAACTCTCATTATATGATCATCAGGCAGTTTTATTAACACTAGATAATCCCATAGGATTTCTCCATAGTAGAAAAGAAAGCCAGGCCGTGCAGTGTGACTGTGATGCAGGGTGAACATCAATTCTTGTTTCTACTCTGCTCTTCATTCCAATGATCTTCAGCTGCCTGACACTTAGCACGAAGTTCTTCTCTTCTCCATTAAAATTTAAATGATGAGGATCTTTTTTCTTATCCAATAAAAAACTAAATGTTGGAAAATGGAAA